AAATTCTAGGATAGAATACAAAAATTGACTTTTTGATTCGAATAAATCTAAACGCCATGAGACCCCATTGTACGTAATTTGGACAAGTCATTTTTTTTTCGGTTAAAATTGGGAGAAAATATTAAATACTTTTTTCCTGTAATTTTTAAATTACTTACAAATACAATTATAAATCTCCTATTAGATAAATACATAATTTTTATTAGGTTACTTTCAAATTTCATTATTGACAAATTTTCGCGAACGAATGAACAGAGAGGACAGGGAGGGGCAAACAAACGCGAGAGCAAATGAACTAAAAATTTGTTAATTCACGTGGCATTCGCATCAACTCTAGACAAACTTCAGAATTAGTTGCTAACGAGTTAACTATTAGTTTGAAGCGCAAGGCTAACAAGACGGCATTGAAGACGGCGTTTGCTAACTTGTTGCTACAAACCAACTTCCGTAATTTATTATAATTAATCATTAATCTCTTTACAATCTCGTTCCCCCCATTCGTTGGGTTCGAAAAGCACAATCTTCGGTTTATGCTCGCTAACATAATCCCTCTGATGCAAAAGTTAGCAAAGCGAAAGTGAAACGACGTGTTTTTATTTTTCTAACAATCGGGAAGCAATCTTTCAATCGTTTCAATGAAATGAGAACTGTATTAAAAAAAAAAAAATGCTCTGCATTTGAATATATATATACAACAATACGTGAAATATTCTTGTTTATTTTGAAATGTTATTTATTTTGCATGTATTATTTTTATAATAAAGATATTTTATATATATTTTAAGTATATAAAAATTAACAATGTAATTGTCAAAATAGATAGTCGAGAAACTTCAAAATAACAGAGAAAAGTATATAAAAATATATTAGAAATATAAACATATCTGGCCCATGTACACAATATATTAAATTATACACTATATTAGTTTTTTTGCGATTTTAATTTTAATTTTATAAATATTTTGTTCCTATTATTAAGTGTTATATTAAATAATTACTAAATATAACCAATATTACTATATTGTTATATGTTATTATAATATAATATTAATCTGTGTAATTACTATTATAATATAATATACATTAAATTATATTATTACATTAAGTTTGAAATTATAAATATATTAATAATTAATAATTAAATGTAATATATTTATAGCTTCTATTAAACATTTATATCTTCTTTCGTTTATCAGGTTCAAAAAACATAAACTCAATGGAAGAATGTATTACGACGATGGAACTCGTATCTTTGTCAATTTTCACACTGATAGGTCAGCAGAAGTATTTTATCCGAATGGAGTGGTGGCCATTAAACTTCAGAGGCCGCAAAATCGAAAATGTAATTATTATACTAAAGATACAATATATTTCAATTGAGATCGATAATCTTCTTGAAGGTGTAAACTTCGTTACGCGAAATATATTTATGAAATTTATTGACAATTACTTGAATTTTTTTCGGTTTTAAATATTGATTTCAAAAATATTCGTGATATTAATTTCGAAACTATTTTTCAAGCTACACGTAGATAATATTTTTAAGATTTACGACACGCTTGAAAGAAATTCGGATTGGAAGTAGTTTGTAGATAAATTTAATAAATAAATTTAGACAGAGTATTTCGAATCCAGTGATACAATTAATTGTAAGTATAAAAGTGGTGAAAAAGTATACGAGAAAATAAATCGAAAAGGAAAAATAATAAATCCTTTTATCTGATAATGTTTACGAAAATAAAAGCAGAAATTATTTATTTGTAAAAATTATTAGAAACTGTTAGAACTATAAGACAAATACAAAGTAGAAGATTAAATTATTTTACATCATTGCCAAAAATAATGAAATGATCATTTGCTGGTTCAAATGAACTAAACATAAGATTATTTCAAAATAACATCGAGATATGCCAAGGTGATGTATTTATAATAAAGCGATGAAATTTATTCGTGATACTCAAACAATACCCAAATCTGTCATCTATGAAAATAAAATTCTTAAACAGGCGTGTTTAATTCTAAATTCTACCAAAGCGATCAATTAACGTTTAGAACATTTAACGTAATAGGCACTCGGCACAATGAAACGCGAAATTGCAAATTTCGATAACGGAATGTTCATAATTGAACAGTTTGCAGCTAAATCCACGTCTATAGAACGTGTTAAATGTAATTACGAAATCTACGAATATCGTGAGGGAGATTACCTGCGAGTGCCTGCGATTTAAATCAAATTTGTTTGCGCATTGATTTGTTCGCATACATAATTAACATTAATCCGAGTGAATGGATATTGGCATAATGTCCACTTATTAATAGATTTTCTGTAAATTCTACCAATACAACACGATCATCGTCCCCGTGATATTTCGGAAATTTGACGTTCTACCGATTTTGAATCATTAACGATAGAGTGGCCTGGCAGTTACAGTTTTGCCAATTTTTTTTCAATTGTCGATCGGTCGAATGTTTCGAATATTTCAAATATATATAAAGGAATATGCCTTCAACTAGATAATCGATTATACGAGGATTGCTGAAAAATGAGAATTATTTCAATGTCATTTAAATGGAATTGTTCCTTACTCTTAAAGCAGTTGGCACAGTATTTTTTATGTTATTATAGAAAACTGGATGCAAAATTGAAAACACTATGGTGGTTATTAATCTGCATCGTCATTTGTTAGATTATCGGTCGATGGAATAAAATTCGAATAAAATTGGAAGTTATTTAATATAATGTGAATAATACACAAATATTATTTTGGGATTATGTCAAATTAACTTCATCACGACGTAATTGGGAAGCCCGTGTTTCTGTTCCGTTGCAATTGTGGACAAGGTAAAACATAATAATTCCATTAATTTTATCCAGTTAGCTTGGTATTACCTTCTATGCATTTCATTCCAATTTTAATTTCATACGATCCGAATTTAAGGACTTTCTTTCAAACATTCGTTTTTTAAAGATACGTTTCAATGTATCCTTTGTGAGTTCGTACCTACCTGATAAAAATATTTAATTTTGTTTTATTTAACTTAATTTTCACGTAGTGACATAGCTGTTTGCCTCCAATATATATCAGCCAATAAAACATTCCTTATTCGAAAATTCTTTAACCATCTTTTCAAATTTTTACACGAATAATACAAAATTACAAATGTTACAAATTAGATGTTAATGTGTAATAATATTTATAAATAATAATATTTATTAATTTATATTATAGATTATGAATTTTAAAAATGCTGAATGTGGTAAAAATATAGACAGTAAAAGTATGTGCTTATTTATTACATCTTAATATCTCACTTTTCGTCAAATTTCCTTGCTTCAACGTTGAGACTATCGATTATCAAAATACAAGGCTTGCAGCAAAGAAATTCGAGTTTACAATAAAGAACGCAAGCTTCTATTTACATATTTTACAAAAAAATCTCTAAAAATGCATCGTTATAAGTCCACCAGATTGAAGTATATAATCTTGTAAAGATAACGCGATAATTCAAGTGTAATGAAATGAAACTAAAATACATCAAAAATTATTTTCATTCTTAAAGATCTTAATATATTATTACTGCTACTTATGATTACACTGCTGATATGCAAATCTGTATTTTTTTTTTTTAAACTTATATAATATAATACAATTGTTTTAAAACCTATATAATATGATACAATTGTAAAATTTTACAATTTCGTTGTAAAAATTTACAGAAAGGGACGTTTCGCAGTGGAATTAGCTATTTTTCAGCAACCCTAGCAACCCTAATAGAAATTGCAAAAAATGATCGAAATGATCGATTTCAAGATGATATGTATACTGTGTTCAGCCCAGGGGGCAAAGATTGCATCGGAGTGGAGAGAGGCTCGCAAATTGTCGCTGTGTTCGACACGATGGGAAACGGCGCTGTCCTCGACGAGGACGGTGCAACGAGGTCCGTATTGGAAAAGAATTTCGCTGGAATTTTTAATTACTGTCGGCCCTAGACACCTTCCGTTCAAGTTCCCAATTGTTTCTGCAGGCTGTCGTACAATCAGATTGGAGGAATTTATAGGGATAATCCGACGGGAGTGGCGCGGACGTGGATGTGGGACATCTGCCAAGACCAAGAATCGATAATCAAGGCTACGTGCACGGTGCGTCTGTCAGTTTGTCGATGTTCAGTTAAAAGTTTTCAAAGTGACTCGCTGCACAAGTATTTCTGATGTACAGAAGTATATACTTCTCGAAATACTTTCAATAAACGAATACTTTTTGTCGAATTACGAATGATTTTTAATAGTCACTTCGTGTGTAAGAAGCTGGTTTTGTGATAAGAATATTTGAATTCAATTTAATTGAAGTACATGGAAGTATGAATATATTTTGTTAATCTAAATTTCTATTTTATTAATATACATGTATAAAAATAGAAGTATACAAAGTATATGAATAAATATATGCAGTAAGTATTCGAACAATCCTGCTGTTGATGAAACTGAAAGTTGCTCCACTTCATTTCAAACATGCCATAAATTTATAAATGAAACGATCGAATAATATCCGAGTTGATAAACTTTGCTGGAGCTAGCTCCTTTCTACATCAAAGGGCAGATCATATTCTTTTTTAAACAAAATACGTAACACAAGAAGAAAGTGGAACTCTTCTTTTTTGTGAAGCTTCATTTCCAACGATTTCTTTTTTTCATTTTTATCAATGAAAATATCGTCGCTAATAAGAATCTTGAATCTTGTAAAATAATCGTTCGAAGCCTAATAATACTTAAAAATAACGATAACGTGAATAATACGAATAACACGTCGTATTTCCAGGAAAAGCGAGCAGTACATTTAGAGGAGCTTTTAAATCAACCAACAAATCCATCGATATTAAAGAAGTAAGACTCCTGAAAAATTTTTTAAAATCATACTGCGTTCAATCGCGTTGACAGTACGAAATATACGTGTGCGACACATAATGCGTTCAGTTCTGACAGTGTCAAAGCATCGACGTCGCCGGTGAGTCCGCGAAATAAGGAGAAGAAGGTCGAGGAACTGAAACCTGTTGTTCAGGAGTACGACGACGACGAAGAGGTTGAGTCCGGGTACGTTGTGGAGAAAAAGTAGAATAATCGTGCTTCAGTCAGGGGTTTGTTAATTACACACGGGTCCGCCTTAGTACGTGAAACGTTCATAACTGTGTTTTTTTTTTTTTTTCAATTAAAACTGTCTTCAACGTCGGCGGACTTTCAAACTTTCCTCGATCCGGCAAACAGTAATTAGGTTAATGAACATTAACGCGCACAGCCATGCTCGAATACGTTTCATATTACGTTTGATATTAATTTAATTCAATGGAGCTGTCTTCGTCAAGTACAAGGAGCAACGTTAACATTGTACGAAAGTTTCCGAAAGGAGTGTCGAAAAAAATATTTAAAGATATTATTATTATTCGACAATTTTGAATATTATTTGTCATATACATTGTATTTTTAGACGTTTCTGTACATTAGAAATAATATGATTTACATGTTGTTATATATTATATTATTTATATTATTAAACAAGTATCTTTTTATGTATGTAGAGAATATATTTTCGTAAATACATACATCTTTTCATACGTTTTATTTCAATTCAATTCACCGTCAGTCGAAATGTTTCTATCGTCGCAAGTATGAAAAGTAATGTTAACGTTGTACGAAAGTTTTCGAAAAGAGCTTCGAATAATTTTTATTATTATATATTTCATCAATTTTGAATACTCGTTGAAATATTTTTCTATGTTAGAAATATCTTCTTCAATCATATTTGAAGAAATATGATCGATATATTCATATGTCAGAAATATGCTTTTAACATAATTTTAATCATCACTAAATATGAAAATTTCTAAAAAGAACTGTAGTTTAATTTCTTATTGAAATCTCATTAGATTTCATGAATTTTATATTATATAATAATATAAAATGATACATAATATGTAACAATAATCTAAAATAATATATTTTGTATATTAGAAATATATTTTTTAATATGTCTATAAGTTTTATCAATTAAATTTTTTAAAAAAATATTCTGCATTTTCAGAAATTATCTCGACGATACTTATCATTTGAAGCCGATCCACTTGATAATAAACGACTATATTAGCTTAAAAATTATCAATCGAAGAAACATTACTCTCCAGTTTTTCGGCAACAGGAGAATTATCAGGTAACATAACAATGAAGAATTAATAATCGATCTTGTTCGATTTTAACATTACAATAATATTATAATATAATATAATATAATATAATATAATATAATATAATTTTGTGTTCCATATTTTTCGAATGGAAAATATTCTTCCAATATAAAGAT